AACCGACGCGCGTGGACGTGCTCATTGTTCGTTCGATTGCCCGACCTCGGTTCGTGGCACATCTGGCGTCCAAGTGTTTTGTCGGAAGTGACTACCGGTGATAATAGATTATTGTTCGTGGCACATCTGTGGCCCAAGTGTTTCTCGGAATTTGTACCTGCGCCTAATTGCAAGGCATTGCCGNCGGATCTTCTCAGCGGGTCGCGATTCCGATCCGGTAGTAGATTCATTCGCGAAACAATTGCTCTTGAGTTGTTAGGTCTCCTTCGGAGGCGCTCGGGCAGTTGTTAGCAAATCCCGCCCCTCTTGGCTGAGCCTTTGCTCGCCCACCTGTCCTGGTGAAACTGGAAAGGCCTTCGGGCCACCAGTAAACTTTCAATCATAAAAAAAAGCCCACCGGCGGTTATGTGGTTACCAGACCCATAGTCATCAACAACGTACAGGCTACCACTCTCCTCCTTAATATTTTGTTTGTATAATTAACTCTCAGTGAAGTCCTAAGTATAAATATAGATGAACATGTCGGATTTTTTTTATTGCCTTGCAGGCAGACGGGCATACGGCCCATCTGATGGTGAGTGGTTACCGTCGCCCATGGACTTCAGCAATGCCAGGGGCAGAGCCAAGCCGCTGCCTACCGAAAAAATGCTACATAATAGTCCATAAATACTTATGAAGTGGTTTATTAAATACTTTGAATTGCTTCACTATTTTCGCTATTATGTGAATGTGACTAATTGTTGAGTAGTGTGGCTGGAAGCCCACTTGTATTATTGGTTTTTTTTTCTTCTGTCAATTTCAGGTGCCATTCTATACAGAAAGTTTATTGAAAAGAGTTTTTCTATTGGGGATAATAAGCTGGTCGACTTGTATTTACTGATGTAACGCGTGTTCCCTTTCAAACAATAGGTTTATGATTTTGTCCATTGTCATTATACAATATGATCATTTCCCGGTATTATTTGTTTGTGATATTATCTTACTTTGGGCATAGTTAGACACGTTGAAATAATTGTGTTTTTAGAAAGCATGTTTTTTTTTATTGCTTGGATGGGTAGACGAGCTCACAGCCCGCCTGGTGTTAAGTGGTTACTGGAGCCCATAGACATCTACAACGTAAATGCGCCACCCACCTTGAGATATAAGTTCTAAGGTCTCAGTATAGTTACAACGGCTGCCCCACCCTTCAAACCGAAACGCATTACTGCTTCACGGCAGAAATAGGCAGGGAGGCGGTACCTACCCGTGCGGACTCAGAAGAGGTCCTACCACCAGTAATAACGCAAATTATAATTTTGCGGGTTTGATTTTTACTACACGATGTTATTCCTTCACCGTGGAAGTCAATCGTGACCAATGGTTAAGTACGTATTTCATTAGAAAAATTGGTACCCGCTTGCGGGATTCGAACACTGGTGGATCACTACATACGAATGCACCTAACGTCTTATCCTTTGGGCCATGTAGCGTCGCTTTTAAAAATATGCGGCGATACTTTTAAAAATATAATAACATTATTTTTTAAATTAACAGTCTATGTTAATCACGGACAAAACTATAAATTTCAAGGTACATAAAGTTCTAAAGATCGAATACAAATAACAAGGACTTTCCTTCCCAGGGGTGCCTTTAGGACTTTTCCTCGGCGAGTTCGATTAAATAATTCAGTCGTCAAGCGTTTTGCGGCAATTTGCATAGAAACGAGATCAGACTGGAGTCGCGAGTTGAAACTGAAATGAAATCGAGATTATTCCGAGATTGGAAAGAACCGTGCCTAATGCACTGTAGAAAGAAAATTTAATTTTCTACACGATCAAACTTACGTAGAACGATCGGGGGATTGCCGCAGATCATTCAGTGCTTCGACATTGTCATGCAAATTGGTTGAATCTTCTATTCTTTGTTTTTGTACAATATGATTGAAAAGTTATCAAATTAGATAATACGTAGTAATATTACCTATAGGTATAGTTTTTTATACACCTGTAAGTAGGTATGTATATACGACAAAGGGAAGATCTTCCACTGTTTTCCACTTTCTTCCAGATAGATCCACCGAGCGGTGCTGTTGTTCGGAACTTGTATATATGCGAGCTTAGTTTTTTTTTTACGCGCGCATTACTGCTTCACGGCAGAAATAGGCGGGGCGGTGGTACCTACCCGTGCGGACTCACAAGAGGTCCTACCACCAGTAAAAATAATAATAACTTGATAATGTCGTAAGCGAGATTCAGGCATCTGTCAAATATCTTGTGTTCTGTGATGTCTATCGCCACACACCGTAAGATAGAATACGTTTAACGTTGAAGATTACAACGTATTTCGATTGAATAATTATTAATTTATTCAAATTATACTTGAAGAATTAATGTATTTAAATTAGACTGTTCGTTTTGTCATTTTGATGAGTAATTTTGTAATTAGATTTTGATTTAGCTACACGCAATCATGGATTTGTGCAAACACAGAGGTAATTACTATGTTGATTACCCATCTATTTGATGCTGCGTTTGGTCAACTAACGTAAATTTGGGGCACATAATTTAATATTCAATAGGCTCTACCTGTGTAAATTAACTGCAACACCGAAACACGTTGTTTGCGTTGCCAAATCGTCGTCAGGGCTGGTGGAATATTTTCTGCTTATCGCAATATATGAAGCCATTTCATCTGGAAATTGTGAAACCTTGACACGACTGGCTGACTAAATGTAAATGCACTCGATTACATGCGTTAATTACGCAAAGAACAGCCTCTCATATCGGTTGAGTTAAATTTTGTACTGTCCGATGACATTGTGTAAGCTATTTCGTACAATGCAAAAAAAAAAAAAACGTGTACCTACCGGTCTTTTATTTACTTATTTAAATTCAATGTTTACACGTATGGATTTTTGTTCTTTGCTTGAATTAATTTAAATTAATTAAATATGTATATGTATTTATTCCAATAACTAAAATTAGGGGGATCTTACATGAAAATAGTCTATCTGGTTTTTAAGTACAGACTGCTCCTGGTACCTTCTGTTTCTTATTTCATGCTAATGACACTGTAGTTTTGCCACATAATTTTATTACCTAACGTTCTCATCGAACCCGTCGCTTGCGACGAAGGGCTCGGCGAGTAAATTAATCCACAGATGCAACCCACTGAGTTTCTCGCCGGATCTCAGTGGGTCGCGTTTCTGATCCGGTGGTTGATTCTGCGAAGCACTGCTCTTGCTAGGTTAGTGTTAGCAACGTCATCAGGATTGAACCCCGTGAGCTCACCTACTAATTTGGTGAATCTAGAATAACCCCTCGAGGTTACCACTCGTAGAATAGGAAGGAAAAAAGAAAAAGAAAAACTAACAGTTACTGCTAATTCTTTTATTCCAATATTGTCATTCTGGTATTTTTTCTTGAGAAGCAGTGATCCGTATCGGTTTGCAGGGTGCCATATTTACTATTCAAAGACCAAGACATGGTGATAACCGCTTATTAACATCAGATGGACCCCGAGCGCGAATACGCTAATAAGTCCCACTCGCAGGTAACAATTTTTCTAACGAATTTCCTACTCAATGCATGTTCCCGCATAACTCTCACAATGAAAGAATAACCTAGTGTAATAAAAATTAACTAATCCATAGACACAGCCCACTGATTTCTCGCCGGATCTTCTCAGTGGGTCGCGTTTCCGATCCGGTGGTAGATTCTGCCAAGCACTGCTCTTGCTAGGGCCAGTGTCAGCAATACCTCCTGGTTTGAGCTCACCTACACGCTAAGGTAACGCTAATATAGCCTCTCAAGGCTATCAACATAGGTAGGAAAAAAAATCAAACCAGCTAGAATATTATAATATAATTTGCGTATTTACTGATTGTAGGTGGTGCTTTAACCCTGCAATGATAGGTACCACCTACCTTGCTTATTTCTGTCATGAAACAGTAACTAATTACGGTTTCAAGGTTGGGAAAGCCGTTATGCTATAGATTATTATTACCCGTATTATTTAGAATTAGATTAGTATTTAGAATTCGACCTTATGTAGCAAAGTGGGTGGCGGTACTAAGGTCGTGACCATTATGTGCTCCAATAACCACTTAATAAAAGGTGAGCCGCGAACTCATTCGCCCTTCGAGGCCCAATAAAAAACCCACATATTTAATATCAGAGTGGATAACCCAATATCAAAAGAATCCGACTTGCTTTGAGATAAATTATACGCGAAGGGTCCCGAGGACCAGTTCTTTTGTTAAAAAAAATTAATCTTTATCTGGGTATACCTCATGATCTACATGTTGTTAAGTGGTTATCAGAGTGCATAGACATCAACAACGAAAATGTCACCACCCGCCTTGAGATTTGAGTTCTAAGTTTCCGTTTTACAGTACAACGGCTACCCCAGCCTTCGAATCGAAACGCATTACTGCTTCACGGCAGAAATTGACAGGGTGGTGGTACCTACCCGTGCTGGCTCACAACACGCCCTGCCACCATATCTATACTAATATTATAAAGCTGAAGAGTTTGTTTGTTTGAACGCGCTAATCTCAGGAACTACTGGTCCGATTTGAAAAATTCTTTCAGTGTTAGATAGCCCATTTATTGAGGAAGGCTATAGCTATAAATAACATCACAGTAAGACCGGACACGGTAAGTGGAGCACCAATAAAGGATGTTTCAAAATAGGGGTTTAAATAGCTCCTTAACTCTATAGTTCAAAAATATTTTCACTTTCTACGTATTTGAAGTGGGGGGTAAAATTTAGCGTTATGCCAAAGTAACTTTTCCACGCGGACGGAGTCGCGGGCGAAAGTTAGTAAGAAATACATCTTCCTTGTGAATGTTAGTTTTGACCTCCTAAACTAAGTTTAATCGAATATACCGGTAAATATTTTTTACCGCACTATTGTGTTGGACTGTTGGTATAGAATGAACACCTTGACACTATACAATGCCGCGTAACAGTTTATATAAATCAGATGGCGTTCCGTTGATTTTAATAGTGAGCGAGCTTTCATTTGGTGTGACCAGTTCGCTTCGGGAATATGAAGAGAAAAGTTTGTGCGTTTTTCGCGTTCAGCAGTGTCGTGTCAATATTCGGAGCCTGTAAGTTTATTGTATGAAATTTCATGAGAGATTCCATGGCAACATTTTTCGTTAAACGGATCAAGATAAGTAGCTCTTTGAACGACGTTCGTTCGAAATTGATGTACATACATTTGATGAAGATCGCTAAAGACATTTTGCAGACTTGAATTTTAGTAAATGTCCGAACACAGAGTTTGAAAAAATCATTGCAATAAAAAAAAAAAACCTTAATATTTTTAAGGAAACGTCGGGAGAGTTTTACATGTTATTTTAGAAATCAATTTATATGCAAATAATACGATTTACATATTATTTGAAATAAGCATTGAAATATCAATTCTATACTTTTCTATTATTCGACCAACACGCCTACGCAGTAGTTACCGTTATCTTTCTATTCTGAGTGTCGTGGCTATCATTCGTATAGTTATCAACCAAAAATTCGTGTGACTAACAGGTTTGCTTGTTTTGTTGTTGAGTGTTGAGTTATTTACTAAATATATGTATTTAAATCTATGTAAGTGTATATATTGCGCCTGTTCATATAGTACAGGGGATCTTAGTTCGGAGCCAGATTGTTCTATGTGATTCGTCTCCTAAATATTTACTAAAATATTTTTTTCATATACAAGCGCTAATCAGATCACTTGACTGATACTGCAACTATAATTTCTGTTGTTGTATAATTTCTATCTACGTGTTTAAAAACTCCGAATTTTGTGTTCTTAATATAAAAATATTAGAAGTGTCATTCATTACAAACAAGGCGAACAGTGTGGTGGACTAGACTTCAACCGTTTATAGGGCATAACAAACTACGGAATATTTGCAAAAAAAGAAACGATTAAGATATCATTTTAATCATGTTTTAATAAGTAATGAATAACGAAATAAAATATTATTTTTTATTATTTAATTCTTATAATCCATGAATGTTGCCAGACTCGAAAATAATGACCTAATACGGAAGCGTTCAGAAACACGTGCAAAAAAAAACTCCCTTTGCCTTACAAAAAATTAAACTAATACGAACAGTACGGCGCCTAAAAATATCGACGTGAATCTACTTTCGGGAGATGTTGATGAGTATGATCAGATAGTGTATCAATCATAATTATATCGCAGTTAAAATTACACATTTGTATTGTCGATTTTTTTAAGAAAACTTTTGCTGTACGTACCTACTACGACATTTTTCCGTAATCTACATGATTGGATAACCTAAAATAATCTATTTGTACCTACCTATATATATATGTTTACTGATGGTAGGACCTCTTGTGAGTCCGCACGGGTAGGTACCACCACCCCGCCTATTTCTGCCATGAAGCAGCAATGCGTTTCGGTCTGAAGGGTGGGGTAGCCGTTGTCACTATATTGAGACCTTAGAACTTATATCTCAAGGTGGGTGGCGAATTTACGTTGTAGATGTCTATGGGCTCCAGTGACCACTTAACACCAGGTGGGCTGTGAGTTCGTCCACCCATCTAAGCAATAAAAAAAAAACAAAGTCATTTCACAAAAATATCAGTCTAATGTAAATATAGCGTGAATTTGACCTTCCGTAACAAACTTGTTCCGCGATGTAATACTTGTGAAATGCTAAACGTATTTTTTTCGACTTCATTGCATTATGCGACTACTTCGTTTTCATCTCTCGTATGCGTTAGTTGACGAATAGTTCCTGCCGGAGTCACGGTTATTTCAGGGTTAAAACTCCACGGACCGTGGTTAAAACGTGACCGTTTTACACATGGCTTATTTAGCAATAATATTATTGTGAATGGTTTTTACGTGTTTGCTACTTTGTACGAAAATGAAACAAAATATTTAAGTAGGTGAAAATTGTTTAAAATCCAAACGATTCCGCTAGACATAATTATGAGTGAGAGTAAGAATAACTTATCGTTATGGTAAACTGTTTTGGTACTGGAAGATAATTCGAAACCATTTCGATTGACAATGTTAATGGTATATTTGGTGTTTTGTAGCTGATGAGTTGAAAACGATATTTTGAACCGAAATCTAGTCTATTTGGCGGTTTGTTTGTATGTGATATGTATTTATTTGAAGTTTATCGGTACTTGTTATATTATATCCAGGATCACGCCACTGCGAGTGATAGTGCTACAAAAGTGAAATAGAAAGAAGAAAAAAGTCCTTATTTTATTTTTGAAAACATTTGTTTCTAAAATTCCAAACAGTATTTCTCTACACTAAAAAAATTGTTCTCAATAAGCAGAGCAAACAATTTTAATAAAATCTATTTTGGGTAATAAATGTTGTTCACTTGTTTCATCATCATCGTCGTCGATTCCTCATGACCGAGGACCGTGAGCACCACGATCAAGTTTCTGTACCGGTTCTCTCTTAACTTCCTGGAATTTATCAAATTTAATCGCAATTGAGATGCTGGTAGCTGTGGCTCCTTTAAAACATCTGGTTCACAGTCTTCCGCGACTCCTTTTACTTTCTACAGTGGCCTACAACTTTATATTTTTTAACTCACCAAGTTCGCGTTAGGCCACATGATCGGAATATAAAGATGTATAAGGAATGTATATGTATGTATAAAGAATCTCAGCATGCAAACTGTAGACAGTTTTTTTCTGTATTAAACAGTACGTTAACTACAGTCGCTTAGTATTCATTTTTAATTTTAGACGTATGCTTTCACCATAACCACGGAACCCTATGTTCTAATCTAAGGTGCAATGACTCACTCTTTTTGCATAGATCAACAGACACTCCGCATTGCAAAAATATAATTTGGCGATTTAGGTTGATTATTTCGAAATTACTATAATATATTATTATAGTAATGTCCGCGGCATTAACATAATATACTTGTTTAATAATTTAGTTATTAATGTTAATTTAAAATATATCTATTAACATTATTACCTCTCTTGTTTATGTACGTTTTATAATAACAATGTCCACCCCCGATTACTCTCTTTAGACAACCCATACCCTGGGCCAGGAAGGTCAAGTACCTGGGCGTTACCCTGGATGCATCGATGACATTCCGCCCGCACATAAAATCAGTCCGTGACCGTGCCGCGTTTATTCTCGGTAGACTCTACCCCATGATCTGTAAGCGAAGTAAAATGTCCCTTCGGAACAAGGTGACACTTTACAAAACTTGCATTAGGCCCGTCATGACTTACGCGAGTGTGGTGTTCGCTCACGCGGCCCGCACACACATAGACACCCTCCAATCCCTACAATCCCGCTTTTGCAGGTTAGCCGTCGGAGCTCCGTGGTTCGTGAGGAACGTTGACCTACACGACGACCTGGGCCTCGAATCTATCCAGAAATACATGAAGTCAGNAGAATTAATAGAATAGAATTAGAGTGAATAGAACCACTGCACAGTTCCCGAGCGGCAATGCCTTGCAATTAGGCGCAGGTACAAATTCCGAGAAACACTTGGGCCACAGATGTGCCACGAACAATGATCTATTATCACCGGTAGTCACTTCCGACAAAACACTTGGACGCCAGATGTGCCACGAACCGAGGTCGGGCGATCGAACGAACAATGAGCACGTCCACGCGCGTCGGTTGCTCAAATCGGAATGGCGCGGTATTAACATAATATACTTGTTTAATAATTTCATTATTAAAATTTAAACGAAATATGTAGATCTATTAACATTATTATCTCTCTTGTTTATGTACGTTTTATAATAACAATGACTTGAAAGATAAGTATCTGTAAATACACAAATGTTACAGCACAAAAACAAGAATTTTATTATTCTGGTTTTGTATTTTTCTTCCTCGTTATTCGCAAAGGACATCTAATATCGGGAAACTATTATTTCTTACGATCATTATGCATCGGCTACGGCCTCGTGGTCGTTATTAATGGTAGGGATAAATAGTTTATTGAATGTATATCTCTTGTAGCTTCAATATCCAAGAGGAATTCCTTCAGTTTTGAAATTATCGCATTGGCCAAACTTGTTTCGTCACAATGTAATTAAATCTGAATATATCTACTACGACTACTCACGACTACAGTGATGGTTTGATGGGGTATTAGCTATGAAGGAATGACTGAGCCATACTTTTGTGAAAAAGGTATCAAAACATCGGCATAAGTGTGTCAAGATACCATTCATGAGAAGGTAGTGAAGCCCCTTAACAACATCATGTTCAATAATCAAGAATGGTCCTTCCAGCAAGACTCGGCGCCAGGTCATAAAGCTCGGTCTACGCAGTCTTGGTTGGAAACGAACGTTTCGGACTTCATCAGAGCTGAAGACTGGTCGTCGTCTAGTCCCGATCTTAATCCGCTGGATTATGATTTATTGTCAGTTTTAGAGAGTACGGCTTGCTCTAACCGCCATGATAATTTGGAGTCCCTAAAACAATCCGTACGATTGGCAGTGAAAATTTTTCCCATGGAAAGAGTGCGTGCTTCTATTGATAACTGGCCTCAACGTTTAAAGGACTGTATTGCAGCCAATGGAGACCACTTCGAATAAGCTTTTTATACTTTAAATTGTTTTATATTTATGTATTAAACTAACACACTGTAAAAGNACCGCCATGATAATTTGGAGTCCCTAAAACAATCCGTACGATTGGCAGTGAAAATTTTTCCCATGGAAAGAGTGCGTGCTTCTATTGATAACTGGCCTCAACGTTTAAAGGACTGTATTGCAGCCAATGGAGACCACTTCGAATAAGCTTTTTATACTTTAAATTGTTTTATATTTATGTATTAAACTAACACACTGTAAAAGTAACAAATGTTATTTGCAATAGTTTTTTATTTATTTTTAATTGTAACAGTATTTATGACCAGACTAAGTAAATATTTAACTAGACTCAATCGTTTGGACTAGTATTAAATTCTGTTAAAATATATCCTTATTGTATGAGTGATAAGCTAGTCGGATAATCCACTTATTGAAACTAAGTTGGCCAACCAAATTGATTTCTCGATTCAGCATCGGAAATTCTAGGCATAAAATTGCGGATTTATGGAAACTGCCAAATTTTATAGAAGTTGATCGACATATCTGGTTTTGGAACTTCATTCCATTAGGTAATTGGTGCAGTTTAAGCCGGTCGGTTTTGCAAAACTTTTATTCGGATTGCTCACAAAGTTGGAATTTATTTAGTCTGCCAATAATTGGTTGGAAGCGGAGTATTTAAAACATACTTAAGTGTAATTGAATTTTACAAGCTATTTTTAATACGCGAATATTAATTGTTAAAATTGATGGTTTTGAGCTAATTTTGGATACGACTAAAGTTTGACGGTTTTTTTTATTTTAAAACATAATTTCCTATCTACGACTAATAACATTGGCAATGCCAAGCCGCTGATGTTGAAAGAGAAGCTGAAGAACTGGGTCTCATACGGAAATATCGAGGAAGAGATTTAATTTTTAATGTAATATCTGGATTTACTTCGAGTAAATTCCTGAAGGCCTACCAATTGTAAATTAATACGTTACTAGCACGTGTACCCGAACGACTTCCACGATTAATGAATAACGTTGAGTAATAAAAACCAGACCCACAAAATTCTAAATCTACGTAATTCCTGAGGTGTATTGTAAGTCTCCACTGTTAAGAAAATATTTTTTAAAGAAAATCCCAATCAAAAATCAGGAAGTTCAACTAAGAAGCTCTTGAAATTTACTGGGGGTAGGAAATATTGCGAGCCGACACGGGTAGGTACAATCACCCTATTCATTCCTGCCGTGACGCGATTATCCATTCCAATTTGAAGGAAGCTAGGATAGCTGTTAAGCCCTATAATTATTTTGGACCTCATATCCAAGGTGGATGGCAGCATTTATGTTTTGATATCTTCTGAGCTTCAGTAAATCCTTAATTGCAGGTTAATTAACAAACAAAAACTTCGTTTTCGTATACAATTCCTTTGCACCCTTTGTAAAATACCTCGTCTAAATTCCAGTACCTGATGTCCAGAAATGTAATCTGACCGATGCAGTATGCCTGAAGACGTCAGCGCAATCGATGGTGCCGCAGCTAACCGATGGATTACCGGATTTGGGGTCTAAGGTGTTAGATCCCCTTTACGTGGAAGCCATAAAAGTTGACCTTGCCGGATTGAAGTTGGCGCTTACCGATGCACAGATAACTGGAATGAAAGATACAATCATTGACAAATTGAGGTAATTTTACGCTATCATGGCAACGTTGAATCTGGGAAACAGGATAAAAGAATTAAGAGCGATTATCTTGTGAGCGATTATGTTGTTTTAAAAAAAAAGATCTCTCCATTTATCCAGATATTAATTTTGTTTGTGTAAAAATTAACTAAGAACTGAACAGTAGAATCATAACAAATATTGACTAAAGGACTCTAATATACTATAATATACCCTAAGGATCTTATTCACTCGTGGTAGGACCTCTTGTGAGTCCGCACGGGTAGGTACCACCACCCTGCCTATTTCTGCCGTGAAGCAGTAATGCGTTTCGGTTTGAAGGGTGGGGCAACCGTTGTAACTATACTGAGACCTTAGAACTTATATCTCAAGGGGGATGGCGCATTTAAGTTGTAGATGTCTATGGGCTCCAGTAACCACTTAACACCAGGTGGGCTGTGAGCTCGTCCACCCATCTAAGCAATAAAAAAGAAAAGAAAAAAAAATATGTATAGTTATAATATTTAATTATTTTTTTCATATTAATGCCGGTACAGAACATAGCTTTATTTTGATTTTGTTTTAGCGTGGATTTAGCAAAAAAACAGATACAAGTTATTTGTCACGTCAGTGTTTACTTGAAGGGTAAATATAAGGCTTCAGGGAAACTCCTCATTTTGCCCATCACAGGTGATGGGGACACAACTATTAAACTAAGTAAGGATTATATTATAATATTTAAACTTTCATCATGCGTTTAACATAAATATACTATATTTATCAACAAATATTTAGGTACTTCATATTCTTTTCCAAAGCTGATTACGATTTTTTATTTTTTTTTCAACTCGCGTGTTTAATACGAAGTACCTGCGCCTAAGGGGCGCTCGAGGTATGTGGGATTTGACGGTGGGAGACGTTGGAAGCAAACAACGGGCCCAAGGTGTTTTTAGGGTCCTACTCACTAAATAAAAGCGGATTATCCTGCCTTCCAAACGAGTCCTTATTATAAGGCTTATAAAGTTCACGTTTAAAGGATAAGAAAAAGTCGTCGTGGCCTAAAGGATAAGACGTCCGGTGCATGCGTGTTGAGCGATGCACCGGTGTTCGAATCCCAAGCGGGTACCAATTTTTCTAATGAAATACTCTACTCAACAAATATTCTCGATTGACTTCCACGGTGAAGGAATAACATCGTGTAATAAAAATCAAACCCGCAAAATTATTATTATTGTGAGTCCGCACGGGTAGGTACCACCACCCTGCCTATTTCTGTCGTGAAGCAGTAATGCGCTTCGGTTTGTTTGAAGGGTGGGGCAGCCGTTGTAACTATACTTGAGACCTTAGAACTTATATCTCAAGGTGGATGGCGCATTTACGTTGTAGATGTCTATGGGCTCCAGTAACCACTTAATATGAGGTGGGCTGTGAGCTCGTCCATCCTCCTAAGCAATAAAAAAGAAGCGATTTCCGTTCCAGTGTAACTGTTATCAAATGTGCAATGGTAATTGAAAAATCTAACGAAGTAGAGGAAGCTGGGGGAAAGATGCGAACGTTTATGGGCAGATGAACAACACCATGACTACTACTCGTGCGAGTCTACAACAGGCCTAACTCCTTCAATTAATCACATATTGTTCGTTGCGTTATGCTTACAGAGAATCTCAGGATCCAAATGATGTACCCGTTTAATCTTGTTAAGAATTCGGAAGGAAAGGATGTTATCGATTTAAGCAGCTACAGATATAGCTATGACGTCAAAGACAACGCGCACTTTCATATGACGAATTTGTTTAATGGTAACAAACAATTAGGTATGTGGATGCACTTGAGTTGACTAATAACACGCTCGTAAAAACAAAGTCGGAGTGTTTTTTTTTTCTACCTAAGATGATGGTCTAGAGAGACCATATCAGAGTTACCGGGCTAGTAGGTAAGCTCACGGGGCTCAAACGTTGTTGCTAACACGAACCCTAGCATGAGTCGTGCTTGGCAGTGTTACCACCGGATAGGACACGCGACCCCCTGAGAAGATCCGGCGCGACACTCAGTGGACTTCTGAGTGATGGTTGAGTGAAATGGCACATCTATTGTGTGAAAGTCTAACAAACAAACAAAAACCAGACTCAGCTGTGCATTATATATATATTAGTAGTAGACTATGAAATTTAGGTGTTTATGACTAAAGTAAAAGTTTCGATGTCATTCCCTTAATTTGAAGACATAACCACTGGAGTTTAAAATACACGTTGGTTGGGCCCCTTGTAAAAAAAAGAAAACAAATTTCTAGATTTTAATGACAAGTCTCAATCAAGAAAGATAAATCAAAGGTCAAAGTTAAAATTACTTAAATAAACATTTTTACTTATTGAAACTAAAATAAAATTATTAGGATAGGATGTCTAGGCAAGATACAATGGTCAATATACAATGTATACTAGTAAAATACACAAATAATATACAAAGTAATGTACAATAAATAAACAATTTACGTATGTAAATTTTAATGTAACTATTTAAATTTTTACTAGTGGTAGGACCTCTTGCGAGTCCGCGCGGGTCGGTACTACCGCCCTGCCTATTTCTGCCGTGAAGCAGTAATGCGTTTCGGTTTGAAGGGTAGGGCAGCCGTTGTAACTATACTTGAGACCTTAGAACTGATATCTCAAGGTGGGTGGCGCATTTACGTCGTAAATGTCTATGGGCTCCAGTAACCACTTAACACCAGGTGGACTGTGAGCTCGTCCACCCATCTAAGCTATAAAAATAAAATAAAAAAAGGCGGTCCTATCAAGCTTCCACAAACATTCTTAAAAACAGTTATTTATTTCATAAAGATTTTAATGTATTTTGTTCAGTTAGTAAAAACTTATAACAAAATATCATATTTTACAGGTGACGTGATGCTGACTTTTATGAATCAAAATTGGAAAGCGTTGACGCAGGAATTCGGGAAACCACTCCTCGAAATACCCATGGAGATGGTTTACAATACAGTCAAAACATATTTAAAATCTCAACCTTTAGAGGACATAGCTAATTTATAAGACAATGCCAAAGAACCTTTATTTTTAAGATTGTAGGTAGATTTTATATTGCATATTGAGATGAATGGGTGATGAATGGTAAGAAATATCACAATAGTAATTTAATTAATTGGAGTGGTCGATTGCTAAAGATTACTTGCATTGAAAAACACATTTGTTGTTTTGATTTATTTCTGAATCCTGTATTATTAATAAATGTTATCTACTCCTTTTCGGAAAACAACAACATTGTTTGTGATAAAAAAAATTATGTTAAATAAGCTATTTAGTTTAATAATAAGGTCTTAGAATGTAATCTATTTCTTCTATGTTAGTGCTTTTGTGTATAGAGCTTTAAAGAGAAAATTACATAAAATGTAATTAAGGATTCTGTTTTGAGTTTTATTAAAATTTAATAAAGTGCTGACCCTGAAGAACCAATAAAAGCGGTAAGCAGATTCAAACTAATCGGATAATATGCGAACACGTACATACAAGACTAAATACAAAGAAATAATCATTTTTAATAAATAATTGTCCATTTTAATAATTATGTAACTTTGCATTGCGCAAGGAGATTTTTTTTATTGCTTAGATGGCTGGACGAGCTCACGGCCCACCTGGTGTTAAGTGGTTACTGGAGCCCATAGACATCTACAACGTAAATGCGCCACCCACCTTGGGATATAAGTTCTAAGTTCTCAGTATAGTTACAACGGCTATCCCACCGTTCAAACCGAAATGCATTACTGCTTCACGGTAGAAATAGGTAGGGTGGTGATACCTACCCGTGCGGACTCACAAGAGGTCCTACCACCAGTAATTACGCAAATTATAATTTTGCGGGTTTGATTTTTATTACACGATATTTAGTGTAATATCCTCCTCTGGTCGGCTCCAATCAAAGGGGGTGCAATCAAACGGCGGTGTATGAATCCCGCACGGATAGACACTACCATCCTGTCTGATTCTGTCGCCAAGCAGTTATGCTGTTCGGTTTTATTTTTTTTATTGCTTAGATGGGTGGGTGAGCTTATAGCCCACTTGGCGTTCAGTGGTTACTGGACCTTAAGACATATGAGTTCTAAAGTCTCAGTTTTACTGCGCCTCCTTTCAAACCGAAACGCATTACTGCTTCATGGCAAAAATAGGTAGGGTGGTGGTACCTACTCGTACAGGCTCACAAGACGCTCTATTACCAGTTTTGTGTGCGCCCTACTACTCGTTGAAGGGTGGGAAATCTGTTGCGTTATACAATTTGTAAAAATACGTCCTCGTGGTGGGTGGTCGTCATTTCCATTGTGACTTCTATGTGCTCAGGTGAACCCTAAACATCAAATGGCCGTGGCAACGCAATTAAAAAAATCGGTTTGCCAATCAACTTACTTTTTTCAATTCAAAATTATTTAATATCCCGCGTAATGTTACATACAATTTAAAGCTGACAAAATCGCTTCTGTGTCCAATGTTTTTTCTATTTTTTACTTGACTCTTATTATTCTTAAATGGAAGGCAATTTAAGCAAATTGTTTTGGACATTGTAAACATTTGTAGATAATATTAATAAATGTTGACGTGATTACTGTAACCACGTTAGCTAATTATATTTAAGAATAGCTAAACTGTTGAATCATTGGGATTTAAATAATTTATGTAGATGAAGATAAATTAATAAAAATAAAAGATAAAAATAATTTATAAAGAAAAATGAGACAGGAAAAGTTCTAATAAACGATGAGAAAATAACAAAGTGCCGAAAGATATACTTTGAAAAATTAATGAATCAGGAGAACTACTGGAATAGGGTGATTAATAGGAAGCCAGAGTACGTCGGGCTCGTGAATGAAATCGGTGTGTATGAAGTTAAAGAAGCAGTGAGAAGAGAAGAAAAGACTCAATACCGAAAACAAGGAAGATACTCCAGAAGAAAAAAAAGTATACCGTTTAAACTTGTAATAAAACAGCAGAATTCAGTGTACTTTGAGTGAATTTAAATACTTCTTAAGTTTACTTTTACTCTGTTAAATGTTCCAAGTTTTGTGGCAAATAAATTTAATTATACGAAAAAAACTGTTTATCTGTTTTCAAGCCTAAGCCGCTGAATCAATTTTAGTGAAATTCGATATGAAATTAGTGTGAATCCTGGGAAAGAATAGATTGTCTTTCTTCCCATTGCTGTGTTTGGGTCTCCGCTCAAGATATACCTATAATATATCGACTAAGCCGAGTTTCAAAATATGTTTTCATTAGGTATTATTTTTTTATTATTATTGTATTCCATCTTCGAGCCGATGAATTGCCAATGCTATGTACGCCATTATTATCACATGTATCAGGCCATAAATAAAAAAGTTCAAGTTATTTTCAATGTTAAATGTTTGTGATGTGGCAGTAAGTACTTTTTTAAATAAATAAATAAATAAAAATAGGCGCTTGCTAAATACCACCAGCGATTTGGAAATTGAAATATCCAATTTGAAGACGAAACGTACAGGGTATGAAATCAATAATAAGTAACCTTTATGAGTGGAGGCGCTCCACTTAACCAACTAGTTAAGTATGTTATTGTGGAAATGAAAATGTTTGAAAATATTAAGTATTATTTTCCATGGATGAATATTTGTAGATTTACTTATAACGTTCACTTTATGAAAATGATCTGAAACTTAATAGAGTTGTTGTTGGCACTTCGCAGAAAGTTTCTGGAATAGTATCTGTCGAGTGGAGTGCGAATTGTTTCAACGAATGGGTATATTTTATACATACATATTTTAGTGGCAGTCACAGCGCGGTCAACTTTTACGAGTTTTATGGTAAGTTTAGTTTTAGTTTAATTTATCGTTTTTGTTAGGGTGAAAATCGTCATTTCTCCCTTTGCCTTTCCATCTTATTCGGTTCCTTTAGGTTGTTTTGATTTGTTTTTGTTTTTTGTTTTTTTTTTGGGTAAAAATAGTCTTTAGGCTATACCGACTTTTACTTATTTTTCTATTTACAAAACCATTTATTTTAAAATCTGTGTTAAGATACTGACAACTTTTTATGCTTTTTATTAGGTAATTTTTGTACATAATACACACAAAAAGGAACATAATTGCTCTGGCCTCTGAAGGCCTGTTTTGGTGGACGGATGGATGGATGGACGAATGGCCCCAGGATAAAGCCTCAAGAAACATCTAGAACGTACAGGAAGCGACATAGGCCCGAAATATCCATTTTATCTACACATTACGCACTATCGTAATTCGACACGGGATTGGCTAGATTTGAAACGAATTAATGTTATTTGTTAACACAGTGAACTTGACGGCAAAAGTAGTCGAGGGAAAAGATCTCGCGGACTATCTCCATAACGATGGACTGACCTCATAAAATCTGTGGTTCACTTCAGCAGAAATGATTGCTCTCACTCTGCGAAGCACCGTGCGACATGGCGTCGCATCGCGAGAGCATCGATATCGCAGGATCCGACTGATGTATGACCACGACCACTCTGTCAAGAGTGTACGACTGGGAAGAAGAAGTTAACGTGCTGCGTACCACCTCTGGACGCATCTGGCTAATTTAGGACTCGAATTATCCTTTAATACCAGGTATACCGTAAGCTCTTAGCATTAAAAAAGCTATAAAATAATCAGCTTCAGAAAATTACCCAATACCGGGTGGACCGTGAAATCGTTTGCGTCTCTAAAGTAATATAAAATTAAAATCTTTGAAACCACTCGCATACGAGATCAGTCAAAACTACACGAAAGACATTTTATAGCTTCAAAAAAACAAGATGTTAATTTTATTTTAAATAAATATTATTACATTTAAGTTAATTTTTGAATTCTGAATTAATTTCTGAATATCGATCGTATTCAATTTTCTGTTTTAGTGTTTGGATAAAGTTCATTTCCAACTTATTTGAATTGAAACGTCGATTTTGGTTTTTTTATTCCAACGTTCAATATACATATTCAAATATTATCTCTAAGTGTTATTATAACGCATTATTTTAATGCCAACATGACCGGCATGTATTATATTATAATTTCTGCCATAGTAAACTAGTCTTAAAACTAGCTAGGCACATTACAATATATGTAAATTGCAAATAAAAATCGTGTTGCGTACTATTTAAGAGTCTTTTTTTGAGAAAAAAATCTACATTTTATATCAAAAGCGTTGCAAATAAATTCGTTCATATCTTTAAAATTAAGACAACCGAATTATCAGACCATATCATTCTATCCTATCCCATTCATCCTATTAATATGCCATCAGAATATGAAGTTGTCGTAGCCTAAAAAAGAATTTGCCTAGTGTATTCGTATGGAGCCATTCGTGTATCTCGGTGCTTAAATTCCGCAGACAGGTACGAAATTTTCCAACAAAATACGTATTTGCTCATGCTTACGAATGACTTCTACTATGAAGGAATATGATTGAGTAATAAAATCATAACATTCAAAAATTACTTGTGTATATTTTTTTTCTACAACGTAAATGTGCCACCCACCTTAAAATATAAGTTCTAAGGTCTCAAATAGTTACACGGCTGCCTCACCCTTCAAACCGAAACGCATTACTGCTTCACGGCAGAAATAGGTAGGGTGGTGGTACCCACCCGCGCGGACTCACAAGAGGTCCCACCACCAGTAAAAAAATACTGCAATTTTGATGTACAAACCCCAAGTCTCAAGGTGGGGGTAGGAATTCACGTTGCCGTGTCTCTGGACTCCACTAACCATTTAAGACCGGTTGAACCGAGGGTTCATCCTATGCAAATAATAACCTCACTCTCTCTTCCAAGCTATTTATCCCACATGGCAAACAATAATAAAACATAATTTACCGATTGATCAAATTCAATTGAAACTTAAACTTGAAATCTGTTTCAGTATTTTCAATAATGCGCTCATTTAATTCTAGATAATAACTCTTGATAGACACTTTTACTAACTACCTCCAAATTACTATTTTAAGTACTGCTAGCTCATATTACAATTCTGTGCACTCTATTAGTGTTTCGAGCAATCGAGATTTCCATCTTACAACTAAAGACAAGCACACCGACATTCATATCTTTGTATCTATTTACCCCAGTAAATATTGCCGTAAACTTATTTTTCAATGTACAATTAATAATAAAAAATGTCTTACAAAATAACGTGGCAAATTAGTTTTAATGATTCTCGTAGTGTTATCCTTCACTAACACTCAGTACTTTTTGAGACTGTTGTATATTAAGACGTAGATTGTGTCGTCTTAAAACAGTCTGAAATCGTTTTTCTTGTATTCACGTACATAAGGAACATTAGAATAAAATATGAAAATGTTTATTTTAAATGGAATATTTTTGTTATTTCTCGCGGACTACACGCGCTCGTCAGGTGAGTATTGCAAAAATAGAGAATATTTCCTCGATTTGTTGGGATTCAATTTATTAGCTAAAAACTGTTGGCGTAGTTCAACTATTCTATTGATATTATTCTTTTATCGATGAAAAATACGGCTCATTTTCATACAGTATATTTTTAGTTACATACATCATGTTTCGCTCAGCCTTAACAAATAATACCATTCGACAGGCATTGTACAGTTAATTATTTCGGATACAAAATTAAAATACCAAGACTTTTATTGTTATGTAAATTTTTAATAAATGTGGTGTATTTAGTGAGAAATTCAAGGATCAACGAAAAAGAAATGTTAGATAATTTTACTAGTGACCAATGTGTAAATTTATTTAAGAAATAGCTATATTTGCAAATATATGTATGTATGCAAGCCAACACGTTAGTTAATTATAATTGAATTATTTAATTTAGGTACTAAGCTTAATAACTTCTGTATTTAATTAGCTCATCTAAGAATTCCATTTAAAACTGTACCTAATTGAATGGATCTTCTCTCTCGCACAAAATTCATGTTAGATTTAGAGAAAATCAGGTTTTTTAGATCTGGATCTCGGTTTTACTCGGACTGTTGATTTCACCGAATTCCGGGTGCAACAGTTGGCGTCAAAATGTCATTTTGAATTTTATTGTCGAAAAGCTATACTAAAAAATATGTATAATAAAATCAAGTTCCATAATAGCAGTATCATCTTTTCAGAGCTATGCTTCTTCTCTATCATTTTCTATAGAGTTAATTGTGAGAATGCGTATTGTTAGTTCATACAGGTTCATACAGGTATGTTCCGAAAACGGGCTTGAATGTATAATCCTATTGGAATTGTGATGACAAAATAGGCCACGGTTATCGCTTATCTATACTAATATTGTAATGTTCAAGAGTTTGTTTGTTTGGTTGAATACGCTAATTTCAGGGATTACTGGTCCGATTTGAGAAATTCTTTCAGTGTTAGATAGTCCATTTATTGAGGAAGGCTATATGCTATTATATAAAATCACGCTAACACTAATGAGAATTTTTCAAAATCGGGTTTTTTTCCTTTTGAGAGCTTCCGCTGCGTGCGCTGCGGAAACGGTTAAAGTTTCACTAAAGTTATGTATGACAGAAATGTTTCCCTTTAAAAGTTCTAAAAAAAAGTCCGAGACAGCATAGGTCTACATTTTAAGGTTGGCTCACTATAACCTTTTTTAGGCTAATCAAATTTGTTCTAAAATAAAGAATTATTTGTGAAAGTGTTTTATATAGATGATATTAGTCCTTATCCAAATAAATATGTTATTCATTACAAGTACTTATTTAAATTTAACAAAAACTAAAATTTTTATATAATAAAAAAATTTAAAGTAAAAAGTATTATTAGAATCGGTTCAAGCATTCTCGAGAAATCGGTGAACATACATAGATAAAAAAAAAGTGTTCGTCGAATTGATAACTCTTTTGAAACGTGATTTTGGTACCTTAAATAGCTCCTTAATATTCTATTATTCAAAAAACATTTTCACCTTTCTTCTACATAAATGAAGTCGCGGGTAAATTTTTGCGCTATCCCAAAGTAACTATTCCACGCGAAGTTGCGGGCAAAAAAAAGCTAGTCATTGATAAAAAAAGGTCTACAATATGACAAAATATACGGTAATAAAAGTAAACTGAAAAAGTAATCTAAGAATTTTTCTATCACATTACTAAATATTCGACACAATAATTAATTTAGAGCATACTATGTACGAGTATAACCAAAGTGTATTGATTGAGTTAGAATATGCATTGTATAGAATCTGTCTTTTCAGTTTTGCCAGTGGATAAATGTAAACTAGAGAATTCAGCTTGTATGATAACGGCCTTTCAAAATGCGATGCCCGTCTTCTTCAGTGGTCTTCCGGAGATCGGTGTTGAAGTTCTTGACGTCATGGAGCTGGATTACGTTGAATTCGATATATCTGGCCTTAAGTTTACGCTGTCAGATGGTCGTTTGAAGGGACACAAGAACGCAACTATAGACGATGTCAAGTAATTTCTTCTTTAATAACATATGGCTTAATTAATATAATATATGAAGCGGTAGGCAGTGGCTTGGCTCTGCCCCTGGCATTGCTGAAGTCCATGGGCGACGGTAACCACTCACCATCAGGGGGGCCATATGCTCGTCTGCCGACAAGGGCAATAGAAAAATAAAAAAATGGCAATTTGTGCAAGTATGAAATTCGTCTCTTTGCAATATCAGTTCTGATTGTCTGGCGTTTTTATCAATGCTCATAATTACGTTGGAGAGCAGGATGGCTATTAAAAAACCAAATGTGACTTCGACTAATTGTAATCTGAAGTGTAAGGGTAATCCTTTAACCAGGCGGATTATTTCCATTTAAAATAAATTAAAATAAACAATGATGTTAATTTAATAAATGTAGACTAATATGTTATATTTTACTAACCGTTTCCTCAAGTCCATGCGAATTAAAATAATCCATGCGTGGACGAGCTTACAGCCCAGCCCACCTGGTATGGTTATAGGACCTAATAGATATCATAACGCGAATCCTGTCACCTACTTTGAGACATGAAATCGAAGTCTCAATTGTTTTTTTTTTTTTTAATTGCATACGTGGACTGGACGAGCTCACAGCCCACCTGGTGTTAAGTGGTTACTGGAGCCCATAGACAGCTACAACGCCATCCACCTTGAGATATAAATTCTAAGGTCTCAAGTATAGTTACAACGGCTGCCCCACTCTTCAAACCGAAACGCGTTACTGCTTCACCGCAGAAATAGCCAGGGTGTTGATACCTACCCGCGCGGAGTAAGAATTAACCTGTGAAAGCAATACAAGCATGATTCTAGTTTTTTGGTCAACAGGACCATATGTCATAATGGTAACTGGACATAGTTGGAAATACTTTAATATATTAATTCAATAGCCTGACTTGAACACGGGTAGAATTTTTATTCTAAGCCTTAATCTTTGAACACTGTTCACAATCCAATTGATGCAAAAAAAAAACATAGAAATAAAGAGTAACGTCAGTAAGAGTAAGAGAAAAACTAAGAAAAAACCTTTTTAATTGCCTTAACCAATTCGTAATTTAAAACTATACTAGAAAGTTATTTATCTAAACAATTGTAAGATATGCGACGTTTTAGGATCGACTGGGATTTTGTGATTAAATATCAAACATTGTTGGCTTTGGTTTAATATTCACGCCATTTGTCACAATGGCTAAATAGCCAAACTCTAGAGTGGCCAACGCAGATGTGATTTAGTTCCGACCGATTGACTCTGATCGATTTATTGCGATTAGCGGAGCTGTGTTCGGTTGCCATTGTAATTAGAGTAAGCTTGTTGTTACAGCTATAGTATGTACACACCGTAAATGGTTTTTAATAAGATTAACTTAACAGGAGTTTAGGAGTACCTACTGTTTTTATTATGATAATTGTGCTTATTACAGATTATATTTGAATTTTATGTAGGTGCAAACTGAAGATATAATTCAAAATAGGTATTGTTATATAATATAATAGAATTGAAAGGCATTTAATCCATAAGATGGTTAATCGGAGGACTTCTTCTGTATCTCTTTGTCGCGTTATGTTTGCAGAAATATTTATTAAGCAACTGTGTTGAAATGATTTTTTTGTGATGGTTTTTAGTGGTTATATACGCAAAAGAGCAATACTAGAATGGAAAAACAAAAAAATATACTTTGAATGTTTAAGCAGTCTCAAAGCGTCTGTATTCATTTATAATGTGTCTTGATGTCTTTATATTCTTTGATAGATCCATTCTAAATATTGTTGCTTAATAAAATGTTTTTATACCATCTACGGATAAAGTTAATGATTAGTGAAAAGAAAAAGGAATTTTAAATAGTGTAATTTTGTTTTATTTTGCAGATGGGACACAGAGAAGAGGAGATTTGATGTAATCTATCATCTCGATTCTTCTATCAAGGGACATTATACCGCCGGCGGTAGCATACTCGTTTTGCCGATCACTGGTGATGGACAAATGAAGTTAAAATTAAGTAAGTCCCGAAATTTTGTCTCGTTTAAAAAACAATAACAATTCTGTTAACAAATCGAATATTTTTTTTGCATTAAAACAATATTATATATGAAAATTTATTATTAAAAAGAAATACATCTTTTTTATCTCGTTTTGCTAAAGACACGCGATCCCGATATTAAGTGGTTCTGTCGCTAAACTTAGCTGTGTGGTGTAGTCTAATATATCATAAAATATATAGTAGAGAGGTTATTACGACGCGAATTTTTGAACTAAATAGGTATACTCCTAATTTACGCTGGGCAATAACGATTTTGTTTATGACTTATTTATTATACTAAACCTTAAAAAAGAAATTATATTCATTGCCAGTATTCAAGTAAGCTATTATTTTCAGAGAATATGCAGATCCACTTTTATATTGAATATGATGTGGAAAAAGCAGAGGATGGCAAAGATCACATTGTTCTTAAAAAATATGATTTCGATTTTGACGTAAGAGAAAATGCACATTTCGAACTATCAAACCTTTTCAATGGTAACAAGGAATTGAGTAAGTATTGCCATTGCAATTTTACTGATAAATCATATTCTATTTTATTTAGAACACATCGAGAAATGTGTAGTTTCCTTCTTCCAAGTATCCTACTAAGTGGAATTGTCACAAAATATAATTTGATTTGACATATAGGTCAATGGTAAATTGCATATGGATATAAATGGATAATTGTATAGTATTATTATGGACGGATTATTTAAATGAATTATATTAGAAGGTCGAAGTAGTTGAGGTCGCAGACACATAGATATAACCTGTTGTAAATCGTATTATTATTAAAAAATTACTAACTTTAGCCTTAAAATATATAGTTTAAAAGTAAACTAGCTCAAGAGGAACTGTTTTGAAAATATTGTTATCAACCTAAAATTAAATTAAATCTTCCTATTAATATAAAATGTTGAGTATCTAGAAGTATTTATAACAACACTGTTCTCACGCAAGGTGGGTGGCGCATTAACGTTGTAGACGTCTATGGGCTCCAGTAACCACTTAACACCGGGTGGGCTGTGAGCTCGTCCACCCATCTAAGCAATAAAAAAAAGCATAGGCAGATTTGAAAAAATATTTGTGAAATATGTGATGTCTAAGAATGTATACACTTTTACTTATTAAAAACATCGGGAAACTATTTAAAGTCATAGTGGCATGAAGGATAAGAACGGGCGGTGTTCTCATATGCCCAATGCATTTGTACCGCCAGTATCCGATATCTATGTACAACTGTACAGATGCAGCAGGCAATTAATTATTTTCGAAGGGAATACAAACTTGAAACGTGTTCACGAATATCTAACAGAGTACTGTCGCAGCAAAACTAGTTTTACGGTTTAATTTGGCGTTTTTTTATTGTCATGATATTATTTTCCTGCCTATTTCTGCCGTGAAGCAGTAATGCGTTTCGGTTTGAAGGGTGGGGCAGCCGTTGTAACTATACTTGAGACCTTAGAACTTATATCTCAAGGTGGGTGGCGCATTTACGTTGTAGATGTCTATGGGCTCCAGTAACCACTTAACACCAGGTGGGCTGTGTGCTCGTCCACCTATCTAAGCAACAAAAAAAATAAAAAAAAATATTCCTGTAACTGTATTTTTAAAATTTGTATTTTATGATTACAGGTAAAATAATTCACAGTTTCCTCAATGAGAATTGGAAACAAGTAGTAACAGAATTCGGAAGACCAATTATGGACGCTACAGCAAAGAAGTTCTTCAAGAACATAAATATATTCTTCGAAAAAAATTCACTTGAAGATATAGCGATTTTGTAGAAATCGCTATTATAATGAATGTGTATTAAATGGTTCTTTTGTTTATATTGTGAATTTTCCTCAATATTTCACCTATGTAAGCTGGTTACTTACTATTAAATGGTTTTTTACATATAGGGGACTTTTTTTAGATTTAGATTCAATTATTCATTGATTTACTTAACGTCTACATCGATGAACAAAATGAAAGATAAATGCGCTCAAAGTTGCTTGTTGAATATCTAATGAAGGGCTCGTATTTTATTAGAACGATATTCTTCAGTGACTAAAAGCGTAGCTAATATGTACGTGTATGCTTTCGGTACTTTCCTTAACTAAAGAACTCGTAAACCATTTTTGTAATTATTAAAACGAATGTATCTAAATAATGTGTTTACAATATAGAACATTTAAATATAAAACATTAAATTTAAATTTACTTATAAGATCGATGTGTGTGTGTCTTTATATGTATGTGTATGTTCCCTATTCCAAAACGGTTGTTTTGATTTCTATGAAATTACCAAGAAGTCTTCAAAATGGTCTAACAAGTGATGATACTGTTTGATAGCGATTGTATTAAAGTCAATTTAAAGATTCGCTAGCAAAGCAAGCGAGCGGAGTTTGTATAGTGCTTAATAAATTTAAATTTGATAGCTTGAAACACAAATTAACTTGAGAAACTTAAGATATTTATAAAGATATTCAGGGTCTTAGCCCCGACTGTGTCGCATCACTCGACACCATTATATCGGACATCTTATCCTATATGTACTATGAAATTTTTGTATAAGTACAGCCTGTTTGTTTTAACACGCTTTTATTATTATTAATGGCCCCGCAGTAGTCGAAATTTAACTATAATTAATTGGAATTGTAAATTTGTACACTATTATGATTGTAATTTATACTTCTATGATCACAAATTTCGCCAAGGCTACACTATAAAAAAATATTAATAAAGACAAACAATATTTAATCTATTCTCAATTTGACCACAGACGTCAAGAACCAAAGTTTGACAATAAATAGTATGCATGCGTGTGTGCGTCAAATACATGGTATGTAGTGTGTGTACTGTTTTCTTTATTGATTTAATGTATCTTTTATGCATTATTTAAAGAAAAAGCTTTGTGCACTTCTTCTCTATATTCTCTATGAGCGTGGAAAATTTCATATTCCTCCGTCAGCGCAATTTTCATAAAAGGGATACAAAGTTTTTGTTTCACGTATTAATATATAGATTACATTATTATGTAACCATGTATCGGAACCCCTGAACGTCGAATTGAGTTAAAATTTCGCACACCTATCAAGAACCAATAACAAAACAATACTTTAATTTATAGGTCGAATATTTTTGATCAAGATTTCCACTATGTACGCGCGTGCTGGATTCCTTGGATACGAGGTCAGTTTTTCAGACTTCTTTTCCGAATTCGAAGTTTCAATCCCCGTTAAAACCCTGGTAATCACAGAACCTATGATCGGATAGAACAACTTGGTTGCACAAAGTTGACAGGGAAAGTCCCTTGTAACGGTGAAACATCGGATAAAATGGTTATATTACGAAATAAATCATAGAACAACTTAATGACCTGTCTTTACATATAACTAGTCAGGTCGTAAGTATTGTCACACAGTAAAAACTTTTCTTTTAGAATGCTGGCCACAAAAAAGTTTATTGAATTCGAATTTCGAATTGTTCATGAAAATAAAAATGTATACTTTTAGAAATTTTACTCATTTTTAAATATGGAGTGGACGCTTAAAGAAGACCGTGTTGCAGTTATTGCGTTGCATCGTTGCGGTTACGCGCCAATTCAAATTTTTAACATACTGAAAAATTTGAATATAACCAAAAGATTCGTTTATCGTACCATCAAACGATACAATGAAGACTCTAGTGTAGATGACAGGTCAAGAAGTGGTCGCCCTCGGTCTGTTAGGACTCCAGCAGTGATAAAAGCTGTGAAGGCGCGAATTCAAAGAAATCCCAAACGTAAGCAGAAACTGTTGGCCCTTCAGATGGGGTTAAGCAGAACCACGGTGAAAAGGGTGTTAAATGAAGACTTAGGGCTTCGGGCATATCGAAGAAAAACAGGACATCGTTTGAATGCTCGTCTAATGGACCTGAGACTGAAGAGATGCCGCGCTTTGTTGAAGCGGTACGCGGGAAAAAAATATCGGGAAATTCTTTTTTCGGATGAAAAAATTTTTACCGTAGAAGAGAGCTACAACAAACAAAATGATAAGGTGTACGCACACAGTAGTGAAGAAGCGAGCAACCGTATTCCGCGTGTCCAACGAGGTCATTTTCCATCCTCGCTCATGGTATGGTTGGGAGTTTCTTATTGGGGCTTAACAGAGGTACATTTTTGTGAGAAAGGTGTAAAAACGAATGCAGTTGTGTATCAAAATACAGTCCTGACGAACCTTGTGGAACCTGTTTCTCATACCATGTTCAATAACAGGCACTGGGTATTCCAACAAGATTCGGCGCCAGCTCATAGAGCGAAGAGCACACAAGACTGGCTGGCAACGCGTGAAATCGACTTCATCCGGCACGAAGACTGGCCCTCCTCTAGTCCAGATTTGAATCCGTTAGATTACAAGATATGGCAACACTTGGAGGAAAAGGCGTGCTCAAAGCCTCATCCCAATTTGGAGTCACTCAGGACATTCTTGATTAAAGCAGCCGCCGATATTGACATGGACCTCGTTCGTGCTGCGATAGACGACTGGCCGCGCAGATTGAAGGCCTGTATTCAAAATCATGGAGGTCATTTTGAATAAACTTTAGTGTCATAAGAATCTATGTTTTGTTAAGTTTATTTTGGTATATGAATGGTTACATAATGAATAAACTTGTTTCAATTATTTTACATTAAACATGTGACAGAATTTATGACCTGACTAGGTATTATAATTCACTAAAATGTTGATTCTTCTTTACAATTAAATTACCATCGTGAAATACTGAAAAAGAAAAAAAAAGTATAATAACAAAAAAAACATGGTTCTTTAGCTAGCTGAACTAAAAAGTAGAAAATAATTATCAAACTGTTAAAAAGCACAGTGATTAAGAAATAAACAGATCATATTAACGTAAAGAATATTGCCGTGTTTTTTTCCATTAGCGATATAATTAGCTTGTAAAATTTTACATCTTCATTTGTCAGGTTTATAGGATTTTATAAATATACCTGAGCGTCTGGTATTGATTTGTACTGGTTAAATGGAAATATGTATACGAAAATGAGAAAGTAAAGTGGGCGTTCGGTTAGCGAAGTTGTAAAGCTTCTTAGCACGCAAATAGACAGGTGCACTAACAAGCAACCAGCTATAAATACCAACTGCCGCTGATAGAGTTACCCCTATAGAATTTGAAAAGTGGCATTCGAACGAAATCTATCTAATTTGTCAAGCCGAATTCAATAATAGTTTGTTTTAACATTAAACTATATTTCGGTGGTAGGGAGTTTTGTGCAGAGGCAGTGGTATCACCCAAACAGCGTTTTTTTACCACGAAGCAGTCATACGGAATGTATATCGACGCTTGAAAGGCAAACGTGACTAAGCGACAATGCGTGAACTTTACAGTAGACTAATTTAAAGTTGAAATACCTGAAAACAAAATTTATTTTAACGAATCTAGCTGTAGTAGAATCTAGCTAGTAGCTGTAGGATTGAAATGATTTTAATTGACCTAGAAATATATATTTTTTTGCGCATCGATTTTGGTTATTGCCTATCATTTATGTACAAAGCAGTTATTGTCGCTTAGTCACGTTGGCCTTTCAGGCGTCGATATGCTTTAAAGGATGAGACTTAAAACTCATGTCAAAGTGAGTGTTGCCATTGACGCTGTGGATTAAATAGGCTGGGTGCAACATGCAATAATATGTTCACATTAGATAATATTATGGATCAGAAATGTATTCGAAAAATAGATATATATATTATATAGTTTATTTGTTTGCCGATTTTTATTATTAGTTAAAATTTAGTCTTCAGGTAAATTAACATAATATTAATCACAAGCATTGCAAAATAATCGTTTCACTTAACACACCGCGTCGTTAAATTCGTAAATTTTAAATTACAACAAATATATAGAAATATTTTGACCACTAGGGCTGGTCACACCAATTTGCATGTAAGTCATTTTAACCTACCAAAAATCCAGTCATAAAACAACATGTCCAATTGAGTGAACAATCTGAAAGGCTGCCAAAATCGTTTCTCGTTCAATTTAATTGTCGTCCCTCGACAAAGGTCTATTGGGGTTGACATTTTACATGCGTGCCAAGGGTTAACCCTGCTCTAATTATTTCAATATACGTTGTCTTCGTATAATGGACTTAAACGGATCATTCGCTGCTACGGAACATGATTATTACGTTAAAGCCGGATAATTGAACGTATAGTACCTAACAAGTTGTCATGTTATTTATAATAATTTTGCAAATATAGCGTTTTCTTTTTATTTGTTGCTCTAGATAGGCAAAAGAGCTCAAGATCTACCTAGTAATAAGTAATACATGAAAATGTTACAAGCAGACGAATATGTTAAAGACTAACCCACTAAACTACTTCCCTACACTCTCGTGCGACACCCGATTCCCAGCTAAGACAGAAACTAAGTAGGAGAGATACCGCGATCCATACTAAAACCAGACGTGCAGCTCTCCTCACAGACGTTGATGTGTACAGATTGCAACAAGACAAGAGGGTTCGTCGTACCCCATTACGAGGGCACGGAACGGGCCTCGGGGCGAACCCCACTGCCCGGGCAGAAGCTCCCTGCGACATAGGGCAGGGGTGAGTTGATGCAGGGGGGAATGGGAAGAGGGTTCGTATGCGCATTTGGCGCACTCCACATCGACAAAAATATATACATATACATAATACGATGAGCTTGATCTTAAGCGACGGATTGATGCTCGCGGAGGTGGCACCCCGGCGCCGGCTACTGTCCCTGGCTTCGGTTTTTTTTTTTTTTTATTACCTTACTCACTAACTAATTCTAACTAACTACAACTAACTACACTACTATATACAGGGAACCAGGGCAACAGTCAGCAGACGAGGGGCCCGCCTCTACAACTCAGAGGGGGGGCCGCGGCACTAGTTTGGCGCTCACCCGCTAAGGGCTCCCCAGAAGGGGAAGACCGTCGCGGGGAGGGACCGACGTATAATCACTCACCTTAAGGGGGAGAGATCCACCCAAACGGGGTGGTTGAAATGGGTCCCCATAGTGGGGCACCCCAACAGTGTGGGGGGAATGAAGAGTGTGGACAGCTCAGTCCCATGGGGGCACTCATTATGAGCACTCCCATATCACTCCGGTTA